CGAAGCTTTCAGGGCGACGTGGTTCGACTGGCTCAATCAACCCGCGCAGCAGTTTGATTTCATCTTGTGTCCCGGAAACGCTACTCCGGCCCTGCCGCATGGGTGTATGAAGGAGGCGGTGAGCAGTTGTGGGTACACGTTTTTGTGGAATCTGTTGGATTACACAACTGGTATCATCCCCGTCGCCAAGGTGGACAAAGAAAAGGATGCTCTGCCGAAGGGCTTCAGGCCAGCGAATGGTGTCGAAAGGGGTGCGTACAAGTACTACGACAGCGCGAAAATGGCGGGCCTCCCGATTGCAGTGCAAATCGTCGGCCGGAGACTGACGGAGGAGAAGGTCCTGGGCTATATGCAAGTCGTGACTGATGCGTTGAGAGAAAGTGGGACGGTGTACGAGCATTTGGACGTGGACAATCTTCCTGAGTTAGAGCCGACCAAGAGCAACAAAATCCCCGTGGATCCCAAAAAGATCTGGTAAGATGCCGTGCTGTGAGTGAGCAGAGAGTCGACTACCGTGGAAAGGGAGCAACGCGAATGATCGAGAAGAGAGGGAAAAAGAACGGGATGTGGTATATACGCAGGTAGGTATGGATTGGGAGCCAGCTGATCTGGAGAAGATAACATCCGCGATATGAAGAATGTTCCAGCCTATCTCGCGTGGAAACACTGGTCAGTCTGAAACCCCTTCGGGTCACCGCAGGCTAGGGTTAGCTAGAAATTTCATTTAGCTTGTAGCAGGCCTCATATTTACATATCTGAGACAAGAGCAACACAGGTCAACTCGGCCATCCCTGGAGCGAGACGGGCAAGAGAGCGTTATGTTTGATCTGTACGTCGAATCGCTGAACAGCGTCCAACGCTGACACTGGCGTCGCTCAAACACTACCGCGACGAGACCTCGCGGTACCAGGATGCCCTGCAGCGGTTCCTACAACAGTTGCTAGTCTTTATTTTCCTCGCATCGAAACTTCGATCGTGGATTCGAGCCGACTACCTGCTACATGGCGAGCTGGTAGCTTGGCTCAGAATTAGTGTGACAAGGAGGAGAAGAGTGTATAAGGGCTTCAGACACTCATCCGGATTCCATATCGAAAGCTGGGGCCCTCGAGATCCCCCCTGGGGTCTTTTAAGGAGATTGATCATCAAACTTCTTTTCTCCGCGGTCATGTGAAGGTCTCTGAACGAGGAACGGGCGCTCCCATTGCTTGTAGGAAAGTATCTAGCTGTCGGACAACATAGAAGCTCGACAAGGTTAACTTCGCAACTACTCAGGTCATGACTTCAGCTCCCTTCTTCCCACCGCTAGCATTCTTTGCGGAATTTGGTTTCTCATGTGGACTCAGCGTGTTCCGAAGTGCGTGCTACTTCTGACGATGCTGCCTCATACGATTGAGCGTCTTTTGACGGCTTAGGATGAGTCTTTGGTGCGATGTGAATGGCGCCGGATTGAGTATAAGTTTCGCTAGGTTGACCAACAGGGCGGACTACCACTGTTTTTCGGACCAAGTCGACAAGTTCCAGCTTTACTGGCAAAAAGGAACGAAATTTCACTCCTTTTTCCCAGCCCTCGTTTGATGCCAGAATAACTGCGTAGACATTGAAAGGTAGAAGAACGCCCCTGAGCCCACTGTCATCAGGACGAGTTCGCGTAGAATTCACTGAGGTCACATTAACATCCCATACGTTAGGGAGTTCTGCCTCCCTGAAGTGGAACGCTCGGAACAGTGCTTGTGTGATCCAATGCCTTCTCTCGGCGCGCGTTATCTCACGCGCCCATTCATACATTCTAGGCGAATGTTCTACTATGAATTCGTCGACCTTTTCCTTCGAGATGGGCAGCTTCAGCTTATCGCCCGAATCGCCCGGATCACCCGGCTGGATTGCTCCACTCGCTTCCGCTCGCAGGTAGGCATCCACCTGCCAGTGGGCCATTAAGTCTGGATAACGTCGAAGAGGATTGCTGAACCATAGATGGACTTGATGGCTTTTGTGGACATGTGGTATAGGCGAGGATGAAAGCTTGCCTGACGGATACTCTGCATGCTCGCCGCGGCCCAATTTGTTAAGTTTGGAAGGGGGAAAGTCTTCTGTATATGACGAGCCAAAGAAGCATGCAGGTAGCTTGCGATCCTGAAACCACTTCCCGGCCGACTCTGCGACGAGGTCTCCACATAAGGCTGTCAAGGTAACGTACTGCGGCATTTCTTTCACCCGATTCAGGCGCATATACCGAGATACTGTAATTCTGATTGAAGGATCGCCCTGGTATTGTTGACTCCGGAAAAGACTCTCTTCATCAAATCGACTGCCTCTTATGTGGACGTAACTTTGAGTCGAAAGGCTTCCTTGGACTTCCCAATCAGGCGCCACCGCCACGTTCCTCCGACGACTTTCCTCTCGAGCAAGAAGAAGCTTTTCCAACATTTGAAGGTCGGACAGGTGGGCACGAGCTTTTTCGATATCTGCAGGGGCCGCCTGTTGCAAAGACTTCGGGGGTAATCCAGCTTGTGGCCCCAATGACAGCGTGGCTGCCTCGTATTCAGGTTTCCCCAGAATATGTTCCACAGCAGCGTTGGAAAGGTGAATCACGTTTCGAAGCGTGGTCGGTCGAATCCTGATGTCTACCACGTCGCCAGCCTCTGTTAATAGGGTGCTGACTGTGATGGCGGGAGAACCAGAACGAAGGGACAACGTTCGAGCAAAGCTGTCAGGGACCATACGTGCAACGTAAGTGTTATGAAAAACACTCCCAGTGAGTTTCAGGGCTCGCTGTGCTATGATGTGCTCTGGATCAATGAACGCGGTAGGGTGCGAAACATGTCCATGAATCCAGTATGCTCCAGGAATTTCGGTGCTGGGTTCAATAGAAAAGCCGTCTTCTCTAACATTTGTTTCGCCAGCGTCGATGCAGTAAACCGGGAGATGGTCAAAACTGTGGCGCAAAGGTGCCATCGAATCAACGAGTAACCTATGATCGAGTGTCTTGCTGAGACCCAATCTGTGACAGAAGAGGTCCGCCTCGTCGTAGATGCGGGTCAGGTCGTGACTAGCTCTGCCGCCCGGAATCTCTAGGGTCACATTGTGGTCGGAACGAAGAAACCATGGTGGCAGGGTACCCAACTCTTGCAGCAAAAGACAGCCCATGTTTTGGTCGAGGCGAAGCTTGGGGTATGCACCGATCGCCCGGAGGATGAGAGAAGCAATGGCAAGGTTTCGGTTGTTATCCGGAGGGGGATAACGAACATAACAGTCCCAAAGGAACTCTAGAAACATCTTGTCCTCTTCCGAGAATGTTTCCTCGTTGTCTTTGACGGGAATTTTGCCGTTTCCAAGATCTGCAGGTTGGATGGAGCTGGGACCAAGACTGCCAATCGTGGTGGGAGACCGCAGAGCGCGGCTTTTGAGGATCAATCGCCTCGCCTTTGCAACGAAGGAAGAGAGGGGATTGCTCGCCAGAGCACCGGTTACATCCTTTCCCATGGCGGCGGCGGCGGCGGCCTCTTGATATTCTCGAGCCCATGTACAGACTTGATCAAAGCACTGCGCCAGTCTTTTGGGCATAATAGCAACAGTTGCTGAAGGATAGTGGGTCTTCTTAAGGACGGTGATTTGAGCAACATGCTTCCTTCGGAGTGTCCTATAGATGGCAAAGAGGGCCGCAGGAGGTACTTCGGAGTATTTGACACCCAGCAATTTGGTTACGACCTGCTCATACGAGAGGGAGATGTACCTTTCTTCGTCGGCAATGCGTTCGTAGAGCGAATCTAGAAGAGCAAGGTTCTCTCGCCGCCAGGTGGACATATCGTCGATGAACCGAGCAAGCCGGGTTGTTAGAGTCTCGGCGTCGGCGGAGGGGATATCGCCTGCAAAGCTGTAGCCCATCTTGACCTCGAAGTCTGCGGCCTGCATCTCCAGTGGTTTGACTGGCAAGTGCTTCCTGATCTGGTCCACTTCTTGTTGCGAAGCAAATTCCTTGAATCTAGGGCTGGGCTGCTGGACGGATTTTTCAACGACCCAGCGACCGTCGAGTAGCAAATACTGACGCTGCCAGCCCAGGGTACCCAAGAAGACGGCTAGTTGTGAACGTGCAAAGCGACCAGCGCCAGCCGTGTATTTGCCAGGCTGCCACCAGATCAGATCGCCCGGATCGAGATGAGGGACATTGCCGCCTTCCACTGCATCTTCCCATGTTTCGGGGAGATCGCCTGCGCCCAAGTCTTCATCCTCGCCCAAAGTGTTATCGGCGAGGCTTGCCTCTTCGATGAACAAAGAGTTGGGCAATACAGTTAGCCTTTTGAGCTGGAGTGAATCGCTGTTTGCATCTGCTTCTTTCCTCCTCTTCTTGTTATTCTCGGCGCTCCAGGCTCTTAGATGGCTGCGAATGAAAGAATTAGATGTGGCAACGGGATTCTTGGCCGGTGAAGAAGAGGAACGAGTGGTGGTGGCGGCGGCGGGACCCAAAGTGATATCTTGAAAGGCGTCAATGGAAGGCTGGGAAGGCTGGGAGGTCTCTATTGATGCCAGACAAGAGCTCAATGTATTAAATGATCTCCTCTGCTGTCTGAGCTGCCGCGTGGCGTTTCTAGGTGTCGAGAGTCTCTGTCTTCGATTGTGACCTAGGAAGGCTGAAAGGAACACATTGTGTCGACATTCTGCACAGATGTATCGCAGTCGCTTCTTGGTGACAGTACCTACGTGGCTTCTCGATTCCAGCATCTCGGACTGAAAGGCTGAGTAGTAGGGAGGACAGAAAGCTGACCTAAAGGACTGAGCATTCAATGAGCAGGATGGTAGGCAAGAGATGGAGAAGTCGCAGCCGCAGTCGCGCTTCTCCAAAAAAAAATTATGGAAAGCTCCGCGTTGTTGCAGTCTCCAGCGCAGTCGACCAACCAGCAACAGTCCGCTTGTGACTCAACACCAGCCAGTTTTTCCTTTGAATCTGTCCCTTTCCTCTCTCACAGTGGTTCTACAGAAATTCAGACAGACTTACTACCGTTAACATGCCGATCCAGCAGCCCGCAAACCAGATCAAACTGACCAATGTGTCGTTGGTTCGGTATAAGAAGGGCAAGAAACGCTTCGAGCTTGCATGCTACAAGAACAAACTTCTCGAATACCGGTCAGGAACCGAGACCGACCTCGATAACGTCCTGCAAGTGCCAACCATCTTCCTCAACGCTTCAAAGGGCGAAACTGCCCCGAATGCTGAACTAATCAAAGCATGGCCTATGCCCTCACAGAATGAAAAACAAGAATCCTCAACAGCGCATGGAGGCAAAGGCGGTGGAAAGGGAGGAAAGAAAGGCAAAGGGAGATCTACAACAGATGAGGGGGAGGATGAGAAGTCTTGGAAAGACGCCATCATTGAAGAAATCCTGAAAAAAGGCGAGATCCAAGTAAATGCTAATGAGCGCAAGGAACTACTGGACAGAATGGAGAGGGAGATTGTGGAAGAAGTCGCCCAGAGACTCGTCGATCCGCAGACAAAGAGAGTCTACACTACAGGCATGATCAAGAAAGGACTGGATGTTCTCTCTAAACAGGGAGGCCATGTTCCCTCGCAGGATTCCTTGGGTCATAAGCTCGGCAACTTGAACTTGGGTGAAGGCATCAAGAAGGCCGTTGCTGCACCAAAGGGATCGAGCGAGACGAGTGGGCAAGCAACGCCTATGACCGACGATGACAACGAGTCCGCGTTTGGAGGTAACTCGAAGGGCAAGAAGAGCGATATGCCAACATGGACTGGGGTCGTGACCAATAAATCCGTCAAGCAGCAGGCTCTTGAAGCGATTCGCGCCCTGATCGCATGGCAGCCCATCCCCGTCATGCGTGCGCGTATGAGATTGCGAATCACTTGTCCCACCAACATCGCCAAACAAGCCGCCAAATCCAAAGTTGAGAGTACAAGCACAGAGGCTGGCGAAGACGCTGGGGCCGATCACGGCAAAGGCACTATCAAAGATCGCATTCTCTCCTTTGTCGAGCAAGTAGAGAGCCAAGAGGTGCTGGGCGAGGAGTGGGAAGTTGTTGGATTCGTGGAGCCGGGAGCGTTCAAGACCCTGGGCGAGTTTATTGCCGCTGAGATGAAAGGGAAAGGGAGACTGGAGGTGCTGGACATGGCTGTTACACATACCGATGATTGAGAATACTGGCTACACCGAAAATGCGGAATGAACGACCTGGTTTCCAAATCCGATCCCGTGTGGGCCGGACGAAGGACAGAAACAAAACACGACTTTACGTGATGCGACGTCCTAAACCCCCTGTCAACATGGGTGGCTAGCAAAGCAACCGCTATACGTCTCAGAGCAAATGAGGCATCCAACTGGAGGCTAGATCCCGCAAATACGACCTCTACGCGGCTTCCGGGTCTCGATCTAACAAGCGCCCATCACGTCCAAATCCAAACGCATTTGGGACCACTCACTACCATCAAGGAACTTCCAATGGATTACGGGCCCGTTGGTACCGGATTGAACCAGCAGTTACCAACGAGATGCTAACCCACCGACCATTTCACTTGTCAACTTGTCCAGAATGTCCCGCTACCGGAAGGGATACTATGACAGGTCAATCACTTCGAATCTTCAGTACGAGTCCAGGAGAGCCCCAGACCCTAGAGAGAGGGGATTATTCGTTACAAGGCTACGCGGCCAGGACACTGCGGCAGCTCTCGCATTACCAGGATATGTGCCTTTCACGAAGCCGGCCGAGTTGGTGGACGGATGCGGTTGGATTGTCTAAAATGGGGACACAGAGACATAACAACTTGGGACCCATCGCTTCACACGTTTGCTGGACAATCTGCGGTCTTTAGAGGGATTTACAAAAGTACCAGCATTAAGGTCACGAGATTGGTGGCATGAGACATGGGAGGTTGGACGACTTGAAGCCGGCATTTATCCATGATTTATCAGTCATCCATCTGGTCCAACCCTCTCTGGTGTACAGTCTTCGGAGACATCTCGAGTCCGACGAAGACGAAGAATAAACGAAGAGAAACGTGCTGAGGAACAGTGTGACAACGTAGCCACTGTTTTGGACATAGAGCCAATGGTATGATTGAGAGAGGGAGCCATTGCTACCGTCACCAAAGACAAGGTCCCCTTCACTGTAACAGCAGGATGTCTTTAAAGCTTTCCGCCCGATCCGATCGCTTTGCATCACAGCCTGCGCAGCCAGCCCAGCCCTGGGGACGATCAGAAGAGAAACACACCTCCAGCCCAGTATGCCAACGTCCGATCAGAATCTATACCCAAGTTTTGCCCGTGGAATTGTTGTTTTCAAATGAAATCGTAGACCTTTTGGAATAAAAATCCAAAAAAGAAAAGGGGTGTGGAAGAAGCCATCCCTCCGTGCCATGCTTCAGGACCGAAACACCGAGAAATGATGTACCCAGGTCTATGTCCCATATCATGCGGGAAAGGCGGTGCTGCCCAGTGCTCAGATATCTTTGGATGCTGACTGCCCGTGTCTGAACAATGCTATTGTTTAATTGTTGTTTCCTGTCCTTTACTGAGCGCGGGTATGGTTTCGGGATTCCAGCAGTATTGTACCTTCGAGTTCGTGCCCATGTAAATTGCTTCGTTCGTGCCGTGTCCTCCCATGGTCGGGTGAAGTTCGTCTCGTCATCTTTCAGCATTTGTCCATCATGTTCCCACGTTTCTCCTATCATAAGGCAACACCAATTCCTCTGTCGCCAAAATCCCTCGGTCTCAGCGTAGCCCTCGTCATGGCTTGCTCGAGCTCCTCGGCTGTAAATGGTGTATCGTGGTCGGTACTTTGCTTGGACAGAGCAGCCAACTCAGGCATATGGATACCGCTGTCATGCTGAGCGAGTTTGTTATTCGGTTCGGCGGGTGCAGAGGGAACCGCTGTAGCTTGGTCTGAGAGCGATGCTGCGAAAAGGTCAGTTGAGTTGATGGCGGGAGATCGAGATAGCAAATGGAAAACATACTGCTTGCAGTATCTGCATCAAACGCCGTACTGGCAGCAGCACTTTTCTGCCTGCTCGTGCTGTCCGAAGAACTACCACTGCCTTCTGAATCCGCACCACTCTGATTTCTCAGCGCTGACAGAGGGTGTTCCTGCACCGAAGGCCTCCGACTTGCAGCTCTACTGTGGACTCTACTGGCCGCAGCACTTTGTGATTTCGTACCACCAGGAGAGAATGTGCCTGATAGTGCGAGCGAGGTCCGTCTCCGAGCGGATGAGAAGGCGTCTGCAAGGGAGAAGGCTTGCAGGGAGGCTTGATGTTGGGGATCGACCTTCCCCCGGTACTTGGACTTTGGGATCTCGTTGGGTTTATAGTATTCAATGTCCTTCCGGTTTGTGTAATATACTTCACCATTGGGCCCCGTCTCACTTCCCGTGCTATTCTTCTTGGAGGTAAAAGTCCTCCGTAACTTTACTCGTAAACCCATTGTGCATGTGCGATATGGAGGGAGAAAGGAATAATGGTCGGGTGCGCGCTGACGGAGTGTCTGTCTAATTCTAGTACTCGACTCTGAATGGAACCGTGTGTCGATGGGTCATGTATAAGCCCTGTTCAAGGCAAGGGAGGTTCAGTCTGGGTCGATACTGTAACGATGAGGACAGGAAGGCGGGAGGGACGGAAAGGACCACAGAGGCCTCATAAGGAGACCATCAGGCTGGATCAGAGAGAAGTGGAACTGTGGTGGCCGGCGGCATATCAGACACAATCAGGAGAGCATGGACCTATGGGTAGCAATGACGAGCGGCGGGCACAATGGTTATGCTGAAATCTGGCACAAGGTAGTGGGGAGGGCCGGGAGGAATATGGAGATAGGCGTGGTCAGTGTGTCGCCATGGTCGAAAGCTGGGATGAGACGTGCTCCGTACCCTGTGTGCTGTGCCCTTGTACCCTGTTCTTGCGTGTACAGTATTTCCCAATGCAGCGGTCCAGTATCCACTCTGCGCCATCGTCGACGGGTTCTATCGCAGTTCTGAGCATGGCGGGTAGCATATGGAAGTAGCATATCGCGAAGGCCGGGAGGAGGCGAGGCACCCGTATGGACCAGGGTCGAGACGGAGGAGGGTGGAGCGGGCAACAGAAACCAAGGCAGTCAAGTTTGTGGCAGAATCCGACGATTCCGCCGATAGGTCTTTGCTGTTGTGGATTCGGAATGGATCAGGTCTGAGGTTGGCTGCAGTGAGAAGTGGTCCTGATAGTCCCAATCCTACCTCACTACTCCATCCCTACTCGGTAGAGTGCCTGGCGGTCGGGGGCAAAGGCAGAGAGATTCCAGAAAACGAAGCTGGCAGGAGGTGCCGGGCCCCTGCAATGCAACGTGTTGGCATGAACAAATTGCCCGCCATAAGCAAAACACCCATATACTCCGCAAGCACCAGATTGCGTATGAGTGTCGATCGGGCAGGGCCAGTGTCACCTTTACTTGGTACACCTTCTAGAAAGATGCTTGTTCCGGGTCTTGGGGTTTTTGTTCTGGCGCAGGCGGATTTCGCTGGACATGGTTGGGTGGCGACTGCCCGCCCCTTGCATTGGCCGCCTGGCCTCTAGCCCTTAACTTGCCCTTACTAGGTACTTGTTAGCCCTATCAGGCCGCCGGAGCAGGAGGCCTCCAAGCCTCCAAGTCCTTGGGGAGGACCTGTAGCGTGGCTCCCTTCCAAAGCGTGCTCCTCCAACCTCTGCTTGTTGCCATGGCCTTCACCCGACGTGCATGAGCGACTTGATTCTGCTGATAAGGTGTCTCGGTGTGCCTCTCACTTTCTCAGGAGATAAAGTTCTCGCTCGTATGTATCACTCCACGGACAGACAAATCTCGTCAGCGGTCCAGTGTTGGAGCAGGGCAGACAGAGTCCAGAATCAGTTCGCCACGACGAAGCCAACGACGGCGATATCTCGCTCAACGCCCCGTCGCCGCCGCCATGACTATCACGTGACCGCTGTTCGCCTTGCCCCGGTTCTGGCCGTGGCCATCTCCATCACTGCCATTATAGGCTCCAAGTAACACAATGATTACCTGGTCTCGGGTAATCCATGTCAAAAAGGCCAATGATGTGCAAACATATATACAAGTAGGTATCTCCCCCAGGCTCTTTGGTTGCCACTTGGGGCGATTGGCCCATCTCTTCAGATCTGATCGCCCAAAAATGGCCTCCTTTGATGCTGGCAGTGAGTGAGTGTGTGTGTGTGACTTCATTCAAGAACAAATTGGCACCCACCGACACCACTTGGTGTTTGGCCAAATGCCAGTGGCTAGTGCACCCGCTGCCCAATGAGCAGCTCAATGCCTTCAGTCTGTGGCTTGAAACTTGAACAGCTTCCCCCAGATCGTAAAGTTATTGGTGTCATTGGTGTCATGGGATCCATGATGCGTGTTGTGGTTCGAGAGTTTCAGGTTATGACGCAAACCACGAAACCATGGCGCAGACCACTGAGAACAGCTCAGACTGGGCTCACGAAGCACAGCTTCACCTTCACCTCCCATCTCCTCCAAGGCTTCTCTTTTTGTTTCTTCTTTTCCATGTGTAGCGTCATTAGTTGATGGCCTTCTCTCCCCTGCATTTGGCCCACGTCGACGACTTCTAACAATCCTATATTGAATGGACAAGTTCAAGACCATAATGTACGTATTCTCATCCGCTCTAGCTCTCCCTCGCCTCATACATGCTCAAGGCAAGCCAGGGACAAAGGAGACACCCAAGAGAAAAGCGGACCGACTGGTCGACTGACAGGACAAGGTTCTCATTTCCCCCAGAGAGAGGACCAGCCTGCGGGGGACGCAACTGCTTCTCAGGAAAATACAACCGCGGGATACGTCCTAGGTGCGTTCATCCTTGCTCGAACCACATCCCTGCATCGTGCTTATCGACCTACTAATTCAGCTACAGACACCGATGCAAGGCAGCCCAAGTCAGGTCCTGATTCTGGTACCGCTGCTATTGGCGAGACCTCGACCTACAGCTCCCATGCACTGCCCAAAGGCGATACCGTTGGAAATGTGGTTGACTCGAGATCCGAGGATCCCACCACTTATCGAGTCCCAGAACACTCATACCTGTCAAGCAAAGGTGTACCGGAGGGTGGCCCCTTAGCAGCCGCAGCGCACGCATTTCACAAGGACAAAGACTATAGCAGTATGTCATCGCTCCGAACTTT